GTGCTGCGGCGGTACCGCTCGCGCGCACGCGGCGGTAGATGCTGGATGGGGACGCGGGGAGGCAACGGCACCGAATCAAACACGAAACGCCTCCTCCTCCTCCTCCTCCTCCTCCTCCTCCTCTTCCTCCTCCTCCTCCTCCTCCTCCTCCTGGCCGGACGCGGCGAAGCACCAGTCTGCGCGCCGTCCTGACGAAAGGCGGCCTCACCCCGAGAGCCCAGGGGGGGCTCTCCGGTTTTGAGCCCCGCCCTCCCCCGCCAAGGGAGGCCCGGCCCCGAGTCCCAGGCGGCGCGACGCACGGAAACAAGAGGGCGGCAGACGGCGCCAACAGCCAGAAAGGACAGTGATGGGCCTGTTGTCCACCACCACCACCATCAGTTGGAGTGGGAGGGGGCCTCTTCTTCCTCCACCACCTCCTCCTCCTCCTCGTCGTCCTCCACCTCCCTCCTCTTCCTCCTCCGCCTCGCTCCTGGCGACGCACCTGCTGGCGAAGCTGTGCACCACGCGCTCGTCAAGCCAGGGAACAGCCCAGCCGAGGAAGGATGCTGATCGTGACGGGCTGTGTTCGCCCAATTAGGTGGTACTCATGAGGGGGAAAAACACACAGACACAATGAATCGTCGATTCCCCAGAAAATATGGGAAACTATGGGAAGTGGGGGGGAGACAGACACCCAGAAAATATGGGAAAATACGGGGAATCTGGTTACTTGTGTCTATTTATTTGTGTGTTTCAGTTCGCCTTCAGGTACCCTGGCTCTGGCAGCCTTGTGTCATGCCGCAGTCATGTCTCGAGCGTCGCCTGCCACGCGCGCCTTCTCTGCGGAAGGCTCGTCGTCCGAGGCGCCACCGCCCTCACGCTGGAGGACTCGACTCACCGGCCGTGGGAAGGCGACCTTTTGGATCGGCACTGGACGTCGGCAGGGACGGTGCCGTCTCGGCCGGGGACCTCGACGTGGTGCTTTGCGTCCTGGGGACGCGGTCCCCCGATCGTAGAGGGTGGACTGAACGGGAGCTTTGCTGTGTCGGGGTTAGCAGTGGTTTCGTCATCCACGTTGTGCACGTTAATGCATCGAAGTCCACTCCCTCGTAGCATTCGCACGTGCAGTGCATGTAGAGCTGGGCCGCAAGCTTCTGGAGCGTACCAATCGGCGGGGTACTGCTCGTGTGCAGCGGAACGTACCTCTCCAGCTCGGGTTCCGTTGAGTAGTAGGGAGCCGGGTAAGAGTATTGACTGAGGCCAGGGCCTGCTTTTCTCGATGATGAAGCTCTTGATGGGTGCCCAGTAAATGGCAGGTAAGGGTACCGCCTCACGCCTGTCAGCTTGTAGTGAGGGCCCTCTAGGCGGTCGTCGGGCGTCACATCCAAGGGGTCATCTCTCCCGCACTTCACCTGTCAGATGTCGATGACCCTCAGACCGAGGTACTTCAGCTAGTGCTTCAGCGCGGCTTTCATGTCGGCGACGGTAAAGTAGTCATTGCCGTCCTCTTGAGACGTAGTCGTCCTCGTGACCCCTTGTCATCCTCCTTCTTGTCCTCATGTCCTTCTGGTAGTATCTCAAACTGCCTCGTTATTAGAAGTCTAGACGCTTTGCCCAACTCCACCAACCCATCCAGAAACGATGCCCACGCGAGTTGCCGTGGTCAGGGATGTGGAGGAGCATCCAGTGGAAGAAAGGTTTGGGGAAGACGTCCTACCCCAAGAGGGAGAGGATGGAGGAGGAATCGGAGGAGGCGGGAGAGGGGGGAGTAGGGAGGAGGGAGGAGGGAGGAGGAGGAGGAGAAATAGGCGGATGAGCCACATGAGGAGGAGGAGGGCGAGCAGAAAGGCAAGAGGAATCGTGGATGCCTCTCGGAGTCTCTTCGGATGTCTCGAGAGAGTTTCTTGGTGTCCTCTTGGGGCTTCTTGGGGGCCTCTTGGCGGTCCCATGGGCTCTTAAAACGTCTTGAAGTGCCTCGAGGGAGCCTCGAGGGGCCTCTTGGGTGGGTGTCTCTTGGGAGCCTCTTCGAGACCTGTCGGGGGCCCCTCGGGGCCTCCTGGGCGCCTCATGGAGCCCTCTTGGGTCTCTCTTGGGAGTCGATCCTTCGGGGCCATCTTGGGGCCAGCTAGTAAGGAATCGACGAATCTGAGCTACTAAATCAGCCTGGCCCCCACCGAAATAAAAAGTGGCCCACAACCGAAGGATAATCCATGTTTTTCGCCTTCTCCTCGAGGCCATCAAGGACGCTCTAATGGGTCGCGCCCCCCCCCCCCCCCCTCCCCCGTTCAGGTCCAAGGGAGGGGGTGTGGGGGAGGGATACACCCCTCCCCGAAGGGGAAGAAGGGGGATTGGAAGAGGAACCGCCCGAAACCGCTCGCGCCCTAAAGGGGCTGATGACCCCCTCGCCCTCCTTCCTCCCCCTCCCCCGTCTCCAAACCTTTGATGTCCCGATGTGTTCAACCCCGCAGGCACTGGCGCTCTTGGTACCATTCCTGGGGACTGGTTCTTCGTCCCAGATCGTAGCGTGACGGCACAAGTCGCAGAAAACTGGTTTGGGTAGTTGAAGTTCGGATCGAAAGTTCGGCGAGCACGGAGGCGCTCCCCGATGTTCTGTTTACGACGCTTGAGGGATTTCGGGAAGCTCCACTGTCGCCGAGGGGTTGACAGGGGGGCAGAAAAGTACTCATCACGTTGGATGCCTTTGCCAGCCTCGAACGTATCCCTAAGATTGACAATCTTATGGATCCGCCCTCAAAAAATAGCCTGGCGAAGGACCCAACCATATGCAGCTGCGAGTACCGCACGGATATGAGACGAAGGAGGGGGCACGCAAACTAGGCCCCCCTTCTCATAGGCACCGCGCCACTGGGGCCTTCGGTGGAGCTCCCTATGGGACAAGGAAACGTGTGAAGGGTGTGCCGAAATGGGTGGTGGGGAGGCATGCGGACCCTGCCACTGGGGCCTTCGGTGGAGCTCCCTATGGGGCCACGAAGCGTGTGAGGGGTGTGCCGAAATGGGTGGTGGGGAGGCATGCGAACGCAGCCACTGGGGCCTTCGGTGGAGCTCCCTATGGGGCCACGAAACGTGTGAGGGGTGTGCCGAAATGGGTGGTGGGGAGCCACTGGGGCCTTCGGTGGAGCTCCCTATGGGGCCACGAAACGTGTGAGGGGTGTGCCGAAATGGGTGGTGGGGAGCATGCGAACGCAGCCACTGGGGCCTTCGGTGGAGCTCCCTATGGGGCCACGAAACGTGTGAGGGGTGTGCCGAAATGGGTGGTGGGGAGGCATGCGAACGCAGCCACTGGGGCCTTCGGTGGAGCTCCCTATGGGGCCACGAAACGTGTGAGGGGTGTGCCGAATGGGTGGTGGGGAGGCATGCGAACGCAGCCACTGGGGCCTTCGGTGGAGCTCCCTATGGGGCCACGAAACGTGTGAGGGGTGTGCCGAAATGGGGTGGTGGAGGCATGCGAACGCAGCCACTGGGGCCTTCGGTGGAGCTCCCTATGGGGCCACGAAACGTGTGAGGGGTGTGCCGAAATGGGTGGTGGGGAGGCATGCGAACGCAGCCACTGGGGCCTTCGGTGGAGCTCCCTATGGGGCCACGAAACGTGTGAGGGGTGTGCCGAAATGGGTGGTGGGGAGGCATGCGGCAGCCAGGGGCCTGCCACTGGGGCCTTCGCCACTGGGGCCTTCGGTGGAGCTCCCTGTATGGGACGAACGAAGCGTGTGAGGGGTGTGCCGAAATGGGTGGTGGGGAGGCATGCGAACCCTGCCACTGGGGCCTTCGGTGGAGCTCCCTATGGGGCCACGAAACGTGTGAGGGGTGTGCCGAAATGGGTGGTGGGGAGGCATGCGAACCCTGCCACTGGGGCCTTCGGTGGAGCTCCCTATGGGGCCACGAAACGTGTGAGGGGTGTGCCGAAATGGGTGGTGGGGAGGCATGCGAACGCAGCCACTGGGGCCTTCGGTGGAGCTCCCTATGGGGCCACGAAACGTGTGAGGGGTGTGCCGAAATGGGTGTGGGGACGCATGCGGACGGCAGCACTGGGGCCTTGGGTGGAGCTCCCTGTGGGGCCACGAACGTGTGAGGGGTGTGCCGAAATGGGTGTGGGGAAGGCCAGCGAACGCAGCCACTGGGGCCTTCGGTGGAGCTCCCTATGGGGCCACGAAACGTGTGAGGGGTGTGCCGAAATGGGTGGTGGGGAGGCATGCGAACCCTGGATGGAGGAGGGCGAGGAGAAGGAGGAGGAGAAGGAGGAGAAGGAACGCGGGGACCGTTTCTTCAAAACGAGGACCCAACACCACAGGATGGTTGGGAATAAAGGGAATCCCTAAGATCGGCATCGTGATGAGGAGGTGCCCAGCATAGGGATAGGGCTATGTTCCAGGCTGGTAAATGCCTGGGTCAAGGTCGGCATCGATATCTCTCCGGGGTGCCTGTTTTTTTTCAATGGTCTCGAGGGGGACGCGTGGCGACGAGAGCGCCCTGGGAGAGAGAAACTCCTCCTCCTCCTCCTCCCTCCCTCCCTCCCTCCCTCCTCCCTCCCTCCCTCCCTCCCTCCACCCTCCCTCCTCCCCTCCCTCCTCCCTCCCTCCCTCCCTCCCCTCCACCTCCTCCTCCTCCTCTCCTCCTCCTCCTCCTCCTCCTCCTCCCCTCCTCCCTCTCCCTCCCTCCCTCCCTCCCTCCCTCCCTCCCTCCCTCCCTCCTCCTCCTCCTCCTCCTCCTCCTCCTCCTCCTCCTCCTCCTCCTCGGAATCCGAACCCGAAAACCTCTATCCTCAATCCCCGAACTTCGATCATCCCCCCAATTTCCCCCCCTCACCAGTCCCCCCTCTCCCCATCTGGGGTGGCGCCTCCTGCAGAGGCGGGGCCAGACCAGTCTGGAGCCCAGGCATCCTGGGCGCAAGACGCGCCGATGCTCCGGCCGGGGAGGGGGGGGGGGGAACGGGGGGGCTTTTTGTGGCTCCTCCCGCGCCGCGCGCTGCTGCTGCACCGCCCCCCCCCCCCCCTTCGCTCTCGGAGGGCTGCCTGCCCGCCTTCGAGTACAACGGCGAGGCGTACACGGGCTGCACCACGAAGGACAACGCGGACGAGCAGGCGCCCCCCCCCCCCCACCTCGCCCTGCGGGCGCCGCGCCTCGCGGAGAAGCCGGGGCACGGAGCGCCAAGGGCGCGGCAGCCTCTCCTGCCAGGCCACGCGTGTCAGCACCCGTGCGCTTTTTGCCAGCTGCGCTGCAGGGTTGGGGCTCGTGTCCAGGTTCAGGGGGGGGGTCTTTCGGGTCGGGCGAAAGGGGGGGTTTTTGGGAAAGGGGGGGTTACGAAGTCTGCTGCATGCAGCTGGTTTCGGCCCCACCGAGGGGCCCATTCCTCGATACATAGCCGCCTCCGGCGCTGGGAGGCGCCGGGAAAGTCAGCTACGTGAGCTGATTCTCAGACCCCCCCCTTTGCTATCCCCCCCTTTCGCCCGGCCCGAGTCTTGCAGGCTTTTGGGGCCTGTGCCCGGGCTTGCGATGTCAATGCTGTAGTGCAGTATTTTGCTCGTGCCGCCGTTTGGAAAACTTGGTTTCGAGGGATGTTGGGTGTCTGGGTCCAGCGTGTCCAGGTCTAGGGGGCCCACAGCTGGGCCCCCCTCCGACTTGTGGGATCCAGCACCCGCATAGCGGAGCGCGAGAAAGGCCATCCAAAGCCTCTGGACGGCGCTCTGTTGTTTTGTAATCGTTGTCGGTGTCGCTGTTCTCGTTGTCGTTGTTACCGTTACGGTCGGGGCGCTGAAGAAGGAACCTTTGTCGTTGGGGAGGGGCTCGATGTTCCTTGACTGTTTACAGTTTGCCCTGCGTTCACCTTGGGTTTTCCACGGGAAATCGAAGTGTAACCGATGGGAAAAGGGGGCCTCGCTCCTCAGTTAGGGTTCCTGAGGTCAGCGCCCCGATTGTAGCTGGACATCGGGGCACTTCCGGGCGCCATTCTCGGAGGGAGAGCGGTGAGGAAAGGCCAGGTGCGCTCGCGCCACATCTTGCATCCTAGCCCTCCCACCCATCCCTTCCCATTGCGCTGATTTCCCTCTGTCCTCGGACGCGCGCGATAGCGGACCTGGAACTCTCAAGACGACCCCATCGTGTCATGCGCAATCTGAAGTAAGAGTTGCGCACTACGTACATCGGAGATTTGGGGAGAAGAAGCAGGATGAGGCAGATGAGCAGGATGATGAGCAGGAGGAAAAGGAGGAGGAGCAGCAGGAAGAGGAGGAGGAGGAGGAGTAGGAGGAGGAGGAGGAGGAGGAGGAGGAGGAGGAGAGCCCGAGGGTGAGGTTGGGCGGGACGACGAGTGACCTTTTCCGGGACTCGGGGAAGGCCCTGGTCTGAACGGCCCGATTCGCCCCGAGATCTTGGCCACAGCGTGGCCCCTGGAGAGGTCGGGGGAGGGGGAGGGCTGGGACCTTCGACGAGGGGGAGGAGCACTCCGAGGATGGCGGAAGCGGTCATGATGCTGCAGCTCGCTGAGCATGGCTCCATTTTGAGAGGGCGCGTGGGTAGGGGGTGCCTCCACCCCGTCCCTCAGGGATGGTGCTCGAACGAGCCCGTCTACAAGAGCTTGTGGAGCTTGTGCGCCCCGTGCGACGACGACCAGGAGCGCTGGATGGCGAGTGGGGCGGCATCGGTGGAGCGATGATTTGCAATCGGACGCTTCCCGTTGCTTTTGCCCGTGCCTGGCGCATGGTTGCCGTTCAGCTGGCTCCAGCAGGCCCATCTCGGTGGCAAAGTCTGGGATGATTTGACCGCTCCTGCCGGGCCCAGGGGCGACAGGATGCCGCTGAGGGGAGGAGGGAGGATAGGAGGAGGAGGTGGAGGAAGATGTAGAAGAGAAATATGATGTAGAGGGGGAAGGGGGGGAGGAGGAGGAGGAGGAGGAGGAGGAGAAGGAGGAGGAAGAGGAGGAGGATCTTCATGGCTGTCTCATCGAGGCACACGCGGCCCTTGCACCTGAAGCTTTTGGGTGGCGATGGTCGGGGAGTGGCTGGCCTCTTGGCCTAACGTGATGTGTAGCCGCGCTGTCGCGGTGCATCGCGTGGAGGACCTCGCGATGCTCCTCCACCGATGGACCGCATCGCTGTCAGAACGAGAAGGAGAAGGAGGAGGAGGAGGAGGAGGAGGAGGACTGGTGCCAAGGGCGCGGAGATCGCCAAGCGTCTTGCCCAAGAAACAGAGGAGGAGGAGGAGAAGGAGGAGGAGGAGGAGGAGGAGGAGGAGCAGCACGAGGAAGAGCAGGAGGAGCAGGAGGAGGCAGGGACACCGTGGGAGGAGGAGGAGGAGGAGGAGGAGCAGGAGGTGGAGGAGGAGAAAAGGAGGAGGAGGAGGAGAATCAGGAGGAGGAGGAGGAGGAGGAGGAGGAGGAGAAAAGGAGGAGGAGGAGAATCAGGAGGAGGAGGAGGAGGAGGAGGAGAGGGACACCGTGGGAGAAGAGCAGCAGCAGGAGGTGGAAGGGGATGGCGTTCGGACGGAGCAGCAGGAGGGACCAGGGCGGAGCGGGCAGAGCGGGCGGACGGTCGAGACTCTGAACCAGCAGCCACTCTGGAAGCCAGGCGGGGATCTGATGCTCGGGCCGTTCTGTAGATGCGGGTCGGGGAGTTGAGGCCTGGCCGAGGTTCGGCCTGGGCAGGGAAAATGCCTCTCGTCCGTCTGTAAGTGGGCGGTCCTCGTGGTAGCACGACGGCTGCAGGATGGGGCGCCAGGAGGAGTGGAAGGGCGAGGAGCCGGACGCGTCGGGTCCCAGTGGCGCCCAAGAGCCTGCCCAGGGACGGAGGAGGAGGAGGAAGGGCGGGAAGAGGAGGAAGACGCCGAGGAGCAACAGCAATCGGGAGCATCAGGGGCAGGGCAAGAGGATGAGGACCACGAGGAGGAGGAGGAGGAGGAGAAGGAGGAGGAGGAGGAAGAGGAGGAGGAGGAGGAGGAGGAGGAGGAGGAGGAGGAGGGCGGATGGGCGGATGGGCAGACGGTGTGCGCCCATCCGCCTCTTCCGTCCCTCTTCCGTCCATGGCTCCACTTGCTTCCTCGATGCCCTCATCGTCATCGATAGCTCTATGCGTGCTAGATCAAAGAAGTGCCGTTCGAGAGCGATGACTTCGAGTCTCGCGCGCGGAGGCTCGCGCGCGGAGGCCCGCACGGTGTTGTGTGTCAGAGACCGTGGGCAAATCTGGAATCTACCGCTCGACAAGCGCACGGGGTTGCGCGCGCGTGACCCGCCTGGGCTTCGTTGACAGGGATGGTAGGGCGCAGGTGGGTCTTTGCTGATGTGCGTGCGTGTGCGCGCAGAGCCATCCGAAGCTGCCATGTGAAGAGCACTTGAGTGTGCCATCCCATTCGAAGAGCCCTCAGTACCCTGAGGTGGTCAGGAGCGCTCCAGTTTGCCCACTCGATCAACGCGCGCGCTAGACAGCTCGCGCGCGTGCTCCAGGTGGTCTGATGTTGGCAGCGACGGCAGGAAGCCCAATGTCTTCTCACGGTGTAGGCCAGCCCGTGGGCAACGTACGAGTGCTGGACTTGCCGCAGCTCCTGCTTGTCGGAGAGAGCTCCGCCTTCGGCAGAGTGCCGAAGACGCCGCAGGCCCCGGGTTTCTACGACGCGCGCGCGCGAGGGGCGTGCGCGCCCGTGGCCCACGCGGCAGACTGCCAGATTGGGATTTTTTTACCCCCAAAATAGTCCGAAAATAGTCTGGGGACTATTTTTTGGGTATCCTTGGACCTTTTTGGGGCATTTTTGGGGTATGTTTTATTTTTCGTCGGAAATCCCCCTGTAGGGAAACACGCCCATGTGCCATGTCGGAGGCCATCTTCCGGGGGTGGACAGAACCCCCCACAGGGACACATCGATCAGTTAATAATTGTCCGTTGTCCGTGGTCGAGAGGGCGCGCCGTGGCCGTTTTTTCACGAAGCCACGCTTTACTAGAGGGGGGTCTGTCCATCCCCGAAAGGGCGTGCGCAGCGCGTGGTCTTCTTTTCAGGGGAGGGGTGGATGGGGGAGTCGATGCCTGCCGGCCCGGCTGGGCTGGTACGAAGTCGTTCGCAGATGGGCGATCGTGCAGAGCAGAAAGCCGAAGACGCCAATACCCCGAAGGTGGGCGTCGAGGACCTCTACGCCGCATGGAGTTCAATGCGCTGTCGGAGAACTGGAGTCCGTGGGGCAAGCAGTGGCGAAGCGTCCTGGCGTGCCTGTGGGCCTACCAAAGCATGTTCTAAGAACCTTTTGTGGTTTCCACGACATGTTCTTAGAACATTTCTGGTAGAGACTGCTTTGTTTGAACACGTCGGGGATATGTTCTAAGAACGCTGGTGGCTGTGTTTCTAGAACATCTTGGGGTTCTAAGAGAATTTCGTGGTAGGCCTATAGGAGTGCCCGGACGGTCGGTCACTGCTCAAGTGGTGCAGCTCACGCGGCGCAGTAGGTGTGCGAAACCTGGCCGACAACAGCCGCCGCCGCGGGCGACCACGAGGCGAACCACGGGCGGCCAGTGGCCGAGCACCTCGCAGATCCAGCCGTTGCACTGGCGCCCACCACGGGCGGCCACCCGGCGAGCAGCTCTGCAGACGCAGCCAGCGCACGGGCGCCCACAGGCGGCCCCCGGGCGGAAACACGACAGGCCCAACCCGTAGCACTGAAAGAAGACAAGGCCACACCTCCAACGGTGCAGAGACACCGTCCGGGGTGCTGCTCTCCTCGCCCTGCCCCGGTCGCGTTCGGGTGTGCTCCCGCCGAGCTCGCGGCCTACCCTTCCGGACAGGATGCTGTCATGGTGTTCTCCCGGTGGCCTTCTCCATCGGAGCATCCTTGGGCATGCAAAACGTTGTATTCCCGCCGCAGCGCGAGTCATGCCTCAGGTGCCTTCGCCCCTGTCGTCAGCAGTGGCGCTCTCGCCTCGGCGCGGGCTTCTGGATCCGATACGCTCCTCGTCGTTGCCGTCCCTGTCTTGCCTCCTCTCCCGCCTTCCGCTGATCCTCCTCCTGCTACCACTCCTGCCCTTGCTCGTCCTCTTCCTCCACCTCCTCTTCCTCCTCATCCTCATCATCCTCATCCTCCTCATCCTCCTGCTCTACCCCCCTGCTGATCCTCCTCTACACCCGCCTCCTGCCCATCTGCCTGCTGTTGCTGCTCCTCCTCGTCGTCCTCCTCCTCCTCCTCCTCCTCCTCTTCCTCCTCCTCCTACATACAAAGGCACCCCTTTCATATTGCGCAGCAACCGATGGGTCAAATCCACAACCGCCATATAGGCATCAATCTTCTTTCGGACACCATTGCTGGCGGATAGAAACATGACTCACTGCAAGGGGGTGCGGCTGGTGGAACGGGTAGGATGTCAGATGTGGCGCGAGCGCCAGTTTGACCCCCCAGAAACAAAAAACAACACCGCAATGGGAAGTGATGGTTGGGAGGGGTAGGATGTCAGATCTGGCGCGAGCGCACATAGCTTTGCCCCCCTCCCTCCTTTCCCCATTCCCCTCCACATTCCTCTTTCGGGATCTGGGGTCCGTTTCCGAAGACCACGCTCGTGCCCGTCACGTGCCCATCGCCATGTGGCTCCAGTTGCACGCGCAGTGCCGGCAAGGTGCCTCATTGGTTCTCGCAGCGCCAGCCGGTGGCCGACGGTGCGCACGTAGAGGCGCTCTTCTGCACGAGAATGCTGCGAAAGAGGTTCGCACCCTCGACTTTGCGTCCCATCCCCTCCCTCCAGCGGCCTCCTCCACCTCCTCCTCCCCTCCTCATCCTCGGTCCTCCTCCTCCTCCTCCTCCTCCTCCTCCTCCTCCTTCTCCTCCTCCTCCTCCTCCCTCCTCCTCCTCCTCCTCCTCCCTGCATCCCCTCCCTCCCATCCCCGGTCCTCCCCTCCCTCCAGCGGCCTCTGGCCTCCGCCCCACGGGCCGCAGGCCCGGCCCTGCGGCGCCCCTGGGGGAGGCCTCGCGCGCGCGCGCGTGGCCGGTGCGGAGCAGCCCACCCTCCGTGCGCCCTCGGAGCGGCCCGCCGAGGGGGGGGATGCCCCCTTCAGGTAAGGGGACAAAAAAGTGGAACCCCTTCGTCGTCGGCCCCGCATTCCCCCCCCCCCCCCCCCCCCCCCTCCCCAATTTCAAAGTTGGGTTCGGCCTCTCGGAGGCCCTGGGGGTTCCACTCTTTTTGTCCTCTCACGCCTGTGCTGCCAAATGCTTGAAGCCAACTTTGAAATTGGGGGGAGGGGGGGGGGGTGTCAGAGGGTTCCACTTTTTTGTCCACCTACGGTCCCGCGCGTTGCGCGCCTCCGTCCTTCCCCGCCCTCGCCTGCCTCTTTGCCTTCCCTGTCCCTCCCCGCCCCAGGGGCGCGAAGGGAGGCTGCGCCTGCGCGGCCCTCCCGAGGTCGGGGTCGGGGGGCAGCTCGCCCACGGGGCGGGGGCGGGTGCGGCTTCCTGGAAAGGGGCAGGGCAGTTTCGCACGGCTCCCGGCGCATTGCTCCTGGATTGACACCAGAACCTGAGCTATGACAAACAAACGGCGACGGAACTGGTAAGGAACCGGCGCCAGAGCCAACAGACAAGCGGCTGATCGGAACCAGAAGTCCTTTGTCACTTCCAGGGGCCATGAAGCTCCCCTCGATCACATCTGCCCCCCTTCAGGTGCAATTCCTGGGAGGTGGAATTCAGCATTGGCGCTGGTAAATCTGTGGTCGAAGACCTGGCCCGCTCTGGCACAATCTCGTTCAGTCCAGCTACATGCTGGGTTTGAAGTAGCCGAATGACAAAGCGCTGAATGACAAAGTATGAATAACAGCTTTGAATGGGGCAATAATCTCTCCCCCCCCCTGGATCCGCTGGGGGGGTTGGGCACGTGCTGTCGGAACTGGTGGAGGGGGGTTGGAGGAGGAGGAAGAGGAGAAGGAAGAGGAGGAGGAGGAGGAGGAGGAGGAGGAGGAGGTGGTGGTGGAGGTGGAGGCTGGGGGGATGGGCAAGCTTCGTCGGAAGGTTAGTCGCCCACCCCTCGATTAATATCCCACCCAGAGTACTCCGTCTTGCGAAGACCTCCAAACTGCTGCTTCCGAAGCTCCCCCTCCCCCTCCGCTCGCCCGCTGCCCGCGCGCTGCTCACTGCGAGCCCTCGTCCGCTGCGAGAAATTGTCTTGTGACCCTTACGTGTTTGGGCCCCTTCCACACTGGTGCTCGCGCTGGTGTTCGCAAGAATGTTTTGGCGCTCCCTCCTCCCTCCTCCCTCCTCCTGATCCTCCTCCTCCTCCTCCTCCTCCTCCTCCTCCCCCTCCTCCTCCTCCTCCTCCTCCTCCTCCTCGTCCTTCTCCCCGTCCTTCTCCCCGCCCCGCCTCCTCCTGCTGCTCCTCCTCCTCCTGCTCCTCCTCCTCTCCTCCTCCTCCTCCTCCTCCTCCTCCTCCCGCGCACCCCCGCCCCGACGTGCCCCATCCCGCCCGGGGACCCCAGCCCCCCTCGCCCCCTCGGCCTGGGTAACGACCATGACCGGACACGATGTCAACCACCTCCGTCTGCGGCCCTGCTCGCCCGCCCGCGCCCCCCGCCGGCGCCGCGCCGAGGAGCCGGCGACCGCGGAAGGCGCCTCCAGCACGGCGGCCGCCCCGGAGGAGACGACGCCCGCGTCTCGGCAGCCAGAGCGAGCCCACCCCTCCTCAGGCCAGCCACAGCCGGGGGAGCCGTTGTCCTCACCCCCCTGGGGGGGCCCATCGATTTCGGCGCCCCTCTCGGGAGCTCGTCGGCGCGAGGGTTGCCCCCAGGGGAGTAGGGGCCACGGCTCCCACAGTCGTGGCTGGTCGGCTCCTCCTCCCCGCTTCCCGAGGGGGCGCGAGCGCCCCCGAGGCCTTCGGCCCCTCTCGCCCTCGGCTTCCTCGAGGAGGGCGCGACGGCGCGCCCGCGCCCGCGGGTGTTCGGCCGGCCGCGCTCGGGCCTTCGGGCGGAGGCCGGCGCCCCCCGCGCACGCCGGACGCCTGATCCTCGAGGGACCACGCTCAGGAGGGGAAGAAGCAGACAGACACAGTGGATCGCAGATTCCCAGGAAAATATAGAAAAATATGGGAAGTGGGGGGGAAGACAAAACCCCCAGAAGATACGGGAAAAGATGCGGGATCTTGCTATTTGTGCCTGTTTATGTGTGTGTGTGTGTGTCCCAGGGCCCCATTCACCAAACAATCGGCAGCAGCAGCGGCAGAAAGTCGAAACGAACTTTCGGAGCTCCGCGCGAGTTTCTTGGATCGGCGCTGGGCCCCCCGTGGCGGCGCGTCCGGCGACGCCAGGGGGGCCCAGGGAGTGGGGTCCAGGGCCGATCCAGGAAGTCCGCGCGGAGCGCCGAAATTTCATATTGGTGCCGGTTTCTCTTCTTCGAGCTTCCCCCCTTCTTAGCTCCCCCTCCTTCTCCTCCTGCTCCTCCTCCTCCTCCCTCTCCTCCTCCTTCTCCTCCTCCTCCTCCTCCTCCTCCTCCTCCTCCTCCTACCTCTCCTCCTCCTCCCTCCTCCTTCTCAGCCTCCTCCTCTCCTCCTCCTCCTCCTCCTCCTCCTCCTCCTCCTCCTCCTCCTCTTCCTCCTCCTCCTCCTCTCCCTGTTTCCGTGCCTGTCCCCCTTCTTTTCTCCTTCCACCCGTCCGTGATCATGGTGGATGAATCGTGAACTCGCTGGTGTACCCTTGCGCTGCCCCTTCGCATTTTCTAGGGGAACAAAAAGTGACAGAAACATAAAAACTCGGAGGTCCGCGCGGATTTTTCGGATCTGCGCTGGACCCCCCGAGGCGCCGCCGGGGGGCCCCAGCGCCGATCCGAGAAATCCGCGCGGACCTCCGAGTTTTCATGTTTATGTAATCGTTAGTTTCCTTAATTTTCGTCGCATCCACGCCTCCGTGCGTGTCTCGCGGGCTTGCCGTTCCTGGCGATCCAGCGCGCTTCCGCGCAGCGGCGGAAGCAAGGTCGGCGCAGCTCTCTGGCGGGGTTTGCTCGGCGCTCGCGGCGAGAGGTCTGAACCCCTCCGCCAGAGAGCCTGCGTGCCGCGCCGGTTCGCTGCGGCCCCGCGCGGAGGGTCTCGACCAGCCCCCCCTCGGCCGCCGCGGCCCCGTGACTGGCGGCCCTCGGCGACGCGCCAGAGGGCCTGGAGGCCGCCGGCCCGGAGAAGCAGCATCGCGTCACGCTGCTCCGCACCTACAATTAAGTCGGGCCTGTCCCTCTACAGGGGGAATATTCAAAAATAGACAAATGGTAAGGGGACAATTTGTTTAGTATGGTTTGATCATTTTGGATTTTTGTTTTCGTATTTTTCATTTTTCGTCGGAAATCCCCCTGTAGGGGGACAGGCCCGACTTAAACCTATATCAGCAGCGCCGTGACCCACCTGCAGCGGGCCCGGCTGGCCCCGCGCGGCCGATGGCGCCTTTTGTGGCGACGAGGTGAGCGCGCAGGTCGAGCACCTGGTGGGCCCTGGTCTCACTGCCGACGGCAGGTGGTGTTCCTTCTGCCCGCCAAGCAAGGAGGGCGCTGGCTTCGGCGTTGCCGAACTCCGCGCCGACGCAGCGTGGCTGGACTCGCGGCGGCCCGTCCACGCGGCCGTCAGGGCAGCGTGATCGCAGCAGGTTCGCGGTTGTCGTGCCGCCTTTTGGACGGAGCCCAGGCGTTGGCGTAATCTGGATGGCCAGATTCGACGCTGCCTGCGATATCTGGGCGAATCCCGCCGACACACCGGACAGGGGCCTTCGGCATTTAGTTATGGCGGCCAAGTCCCCTGAAAGGGACCTCCAGCACTGCTCCTTTCTGCTCCTAGATAGGAGCAGCGTCTCCCATCCGTCGTAGCAAGGTCCCTCGAAAAGGGCCCCATGGTCGCAAAGTCCCCTTCAAATGGGCCTCTTGCGCGCCGTCCTCCCCGACAAGAACGGCGGTTCCCAAAGCCAGTTCCCCCAAGAAGGACCTCTGGCAGCCAAGTTCCCTGATAGGGGTTGCTGGCACGCCGCCCCCCTTGGAAGAAGTGGCGTCTCCCGGGTCCAAGTCCCCCAAGGCCGCCAAGTCTTTTGAAAGGAACTTTTGGCACGTTCGCTCCATGATAAAGCCGGCGTCTCCGCCAATCCCGCACCATGGCGACGACCAGTACTGACTTGGACAAGGCGAGGATGATGTCGCGATGCTCAAGAAGGATCGGTGGCGGTTGTATGTGACGCTTCATGCTCTGGTCAAGCATCATACTTGCGCTTCAGGAGATCATGGCGCTGCCTATTCTATGGCGAGGAGGGCCACGCGTGCAGCGCGGAGGTCCCACGGCAAAGCTTCGTCCAAGGTGCTCACCGAGATGGGGTGGCAGTTCGGCGACATGTATCTATGTAGTTGCGCGTTCGTGACAAAGCAGCTCTACTTCACCGACAGCGGCAACTGTGGACGACGGTTTTGGACATTGTTCTGACGGGAGGACGCCTGCATCAAGCAGCAGCAATACATGTGGTCAGCGATTACACGTGCCGCATGGGTCAAAAGATTCCGAACAGATGCGTCACCGAGAAGGTGTAGGTTCACAGGCAGGCTGAAGACATTACAGAAGAGGAGCGGCACAGACGCAGTCGGCAAGCTGACGCCTTGACAGTACGCGCGGCACGTCGACATGCAGTCCACACTAACGTGCGCCGTCGGCTGTTCAAGGATTAACTCTTGTGCCACCTCCTCCAGAAAGCAGTTACCGTTAGCTCGATGATGGGAGCTTAGGCGACTGCAGCTCTCGGCAGGGACAAGCACGACGAGAAATTCGAACAAGGTTGGGCCATGCAGATGGCCGCCCAAGAGGATCAAACAGCACATGCCTATGATGAGGACGAGGACACGACACTTCGCAGCATCTCAACATTGGCGATCATGATACGGACGCCCCCACCCCTATCCCACCCTCTCCGAGAACAGCCGCGTCGACAGCGAGCAAGGCGGCAAGGAGGGTTAAGAGCAAGGAGCAAGGGACCACCAATCCCATAACATCAGCGACGATATTGAGCACGCCCAGTCCAGCATCAGCATCGCCAGCAAGTGCAACCGCCGGTCTGGCTCTCGACTCGAGCTCTCGCAATCCCAGTGCCTGGCCATGCCGGCGCGCCTTCATTGCGTACTGTGCGGGACCCAGCATTGCCGAATGTTGAGTAGCTTTCCGCCCCGTGCGTTCCGACGAGGGCGGAATCAATGCCGCGGTGATGCCGGCCGAGCTTGCTCCCAGCTATCATGCGGCATTTCAGTTAGCTGACGTGAGGGGCTCTTCATGCGACGGCAACTCCTTTATCCTGCGCACGGGTTGAGCTTGCCGTGGACTTTCCGGCGGCGCCTAGCCTGCCTTGGGTCGCGCCGCCCAAGTCGATGCAAGAGGCCGCGATTGAGGTGGCGGCACGCTACTTCTCGACGGCGGCAGCGCGAGCTGGACTACTCTGCACGTGTTCGACGGGGCCGGTGGAGGCGCGCCGACGAAGTCGCGCGCGCATGTCGCCCGGCCTTCGACCAGATTCTGGATCCACGTGCAGACCGATGCTCGTGAACCACCACCGCGCCACGTGGTCCGCGCGCGGCGTGGCGCCAGCGGCGACGGACGCGAACGACTGCCTCTAATTCCGGCCGGCCCGGGGCTCGGCGCTTAGGCTTATCTGGCAGGTGCCCGAGCTAGAAACGAACATCGGCAATGATGCTCAGTCTGGCGGTCCTGCCCACCAGGCCGCTGGATCCGCCTCCAGCATGGGCGCGCGAGTCAGCCGGCGCATCAATGCGACGACGGCCCCAGCGACGCGCGGCGAGGCAGTCTGGTCAGGGCGGGTGGGGGCGGGGAGGGCGGAGAACGAGCGCGAGGGCCTCGCTGGCCGAGAGCTCACGGACGAACAGAGAAAGAAACTACACATTCGAGAGGCGCGCCTGCAGGGAACCATATCCGGGCACCGTTCAGCGGAGGCGGGCGGAAATAGGAGCCGAAGTCGAGGCGCGCTGCAAATCGATGGCGGGCGTCGGCAGATGGGCCACTGGCCGAGGGCACGCTGCAATCCAGACGGGCCGCGCGGGCCGCATCCGGTGGGGCACAGAAGGAAAATGGAGAGAGGTCCTGCCGAAAGGGGGGGCGGAGATTACCGAGCACAACGCGCGAGCGGAGACCCCGGGGAACAGGTGCAACATTCTTGACAGGGCCAAGCAGGGCCAACTCGACATTGTGCTCGCGCGTGAGAAGTGCACGGCTAATTACCAACAGGGGAAACAACCACTTCCAGTTTGCGCTGCCCCGTGTTCTCGGCGGTGAGAGGCGCGCGGCGGTGATCGCGACGTGCCCCATGGCGATGGCGGTGCGTGCATCATCGACATGGCGCAGACTGTCTGCAGCTTTTATCAGTCAATATCATTGACCTATGTGCGGATCGACTCTGGCATGACGCGATCATCACCTTGCACGGCGTGGAAGTTCACGGGGGGTTTTGCCGCGGGCGCAACTGAGGAGAAGCGCGCCATAACAGACGGATCGGAGCGACCTCTCCCGTGCCCGAGCCCGCATGGTAGGCATTATTGGCTGCTCTGCGCGACGGTGACCGCCCTCGGCCACCCGTCGCGGCGGTCGCTGGCGCCTTGTCTTTCTTGGGGCCTCGGATGAAAATCCAAAAGGTTTCTGCCAGGCAGCGTTTCTCGCTGGCTTTGAGTCGCGGGTAGGAATCCAGGAGACTTCAGCCAGGCAGCGCTAATTACACGCCCCGTGCTGGCACATGGACGCCGGCCCCTCAAACGAGGGCGCAGGCGCCGCGACGCCCCCCCCCCCCCCTGGGCACAAAGCTCGACGCGACGCCCCCGCCCCCCGAGGCCCCGCAGCCCATTCGAATCAATGGCAGGATATCTCGGCGGCCATGGCGTCGTTTGACTTGGCCGCTCGGGGCGGGCGGCGCGCGCCGCCTTGCGCGAGGGCAGGCGGCCGCCATGCAATGCTCGAAGGTGTCCGCCCAGACAGCTGCGGGTCTTCAACCGCGCCATCGCAGGCCAGGAGGCGCGACCGCAAATTTGAAGCAGCATCCTGTTTCGAGTAAAGGCCTCTGTATTCCATCGCTGATTGCCGTGTTTTGGCGCGCGCCTTGGACCAGATTTCCTCCGCTCGCGATTTAGGCGCGCGCGTGGTGCGCGCCAACTTGCGCAATCTGCGCATCCGGTGCGTTTTCTGCTGCATGTTGATGACGCTGCGGACAGAGAAGTTGCGCATTCGGTTGGGGTGGCTGCTGGCACGCATTTAGACCACTTACCCCACGTTGCAGCGGTGCGCCATTGACCCTGCTGGGGGCAAAGTCGACGCGCGCGCGCTCCTGCTTCCACGCAGAAGTTGCATAAATTGCGGGCGCAGTAGACAACGACGAAACATGCGGTCGACGTCGTGGCGGCAGCCGCGCGCCGGTGATGCGGCAACGAGGCAAATTCAACATCACCATGCACAACGCAGCCCATATGCCGCTGCGCAAACCATATATAGAGAGTGCACCCGCCACTCTCGTAAGAATATTATATTGGCTTTCGCCACATCCGCCGGCCCCTTGATTCGCTCTCGGCCCCGTGCTGCGCGGCGACGTTGAAGTGCAAGGCGTGCGCGTGAGATCCGCGGGGGCGCTTGAGACAGCGCGCGAACGTTGGGGTCGGGGTTGGGGGGGGGCAGGAAAGGGCGGGAGGCGCAGGATTGAGGGGCGCTGTTGGTTGTTTGACTTGGGGGCCCCTTGAGAGTTTCCTGGGCGGCCTTGGGGCGGCGTTGGGGGCCTCATGGGCGGTCGTCAACGCCGTGATGGCCGAATAGACATTATGTTACAGAATGCGTTGCCATAACCGTTTTCGACGATGTTGACGTCTTTGTGGCTCGCGGGCCTCCTGTTCCCGCTTCGGGCCCCCCCCTTTTTGGGCCCCTCTTGGGGCTCTTTTGGGTCTTCTTGGGCGCCTTCTGGGCCGCCTCGGCGCCCTCTTGGGCCGTCTTGGGGCCCTCTTGGGAACTGCTAGGGGCCCTCCTGGAGCGGTCTTGGCGGCCTCGTGAGCAGTTTTCCACGCAGCGAAGGCCGAAGAGTCGTGCATGCAACAAATGTACGTTTTCCCATAGGAATGGGACGATTTGGGCCTCGCGGGCCTTTCTTCGCAAGCCTGTTGGAGGCCTCTTGGGGCGTCTTGGCGCCTTCTTGGGCCGTCTTGGGCCCATCTTGGGCGTCTTGTGGCGATCATTCGGCGACTTTGCGCTCTCTTGGACCGTCTTGGGGGCGTCTGGAGAGACTCCAAGCCGAGCCTGGGGAGCCCGGACCGAGCCGGGTGAGTTCAGCGTCCCGGGGGGGGGTCTTATTGGGGGGAACAGTCTCACACGCCTAGAGACTCACCCACAAGGGGTCGGCGGATTTACAATGTCAAAATGCAGCGCGTGTAGTTCCAATATCACGAAACGACGTGCCAAACCTATCATCAGGGCATGAGGGCGGACCGCGTGGTACAACTATGGCTGGGGGTGCCGTCGCCGTCTTTGGATTGATGAATGCTTGTTCGGCGGCGGCGCAACTTGCATCCACTACGCGACGGCTGTGTTACGATTGCGACTAAGAGGCATATGTGTTTGTTAACCGTGCCTTCCGCATGGCGTCACTCGTCTCGCCAGTTCACGCACTTGCCGATGGTTACCAACGCGGTGTGAAGAAAAATGGAACGACGACCTGCACATGATGTGGGCACCGTCTTTGCAACCGTCAACAAAGCACGCGGGACAAATATTGGCACAACCGCGCACGCGTGACACATCATGCACACAGGGGCGCAATGCCGTTAACGAAGTAGTTTTGGTGTATACGCGGCAAACAACATTGACCAGAACGCGGTTGGCGAGACCTTGGTTAGATATTGACATCCGACGTTCACTGTCAGTGAAGAAGCGCTCCCGTAATTGATTGTGCGGGAGTTGGTTCCCTGGCGTGGTGTTGAAGTTTTAGTTTGTCCTTCAAAAACTTTCATGGGTTTTGATTGCAGTGCCGCAAATAACGAAACAAGATGCCTGTTCTGAGGAACGAACCCATTCACAGTTTCTTCAGCATCCACCAGGGATCCAAACCTTCCGCCAGGAAACCGACATTTACATGTTTTCCCCGCCCCTTTTCCCTCCATCTGTCCCTTTCTCATCCCCCAATAATATGTTGCGGAGGAAGGGGTGAGGGGCGGGGAAGGGGGCGGGAGGAGTGGATCGATGAGGGGAAGAGGTGGCGGAGCAGCAGGAGGAGGAACTGAGGGATAGACACAGCGGGATCTTGCCCAATTTTCCCGCACCGCAATAGGAGAAGGAAGAGCAGGACGAGGGACGAGACGGCCTGCCGGGTGATGACATGGACGCCAGGTCGTGCTCATCATTAGTGAAAGGGCAAGGCTCGACCTAAACGGTGTGATGGCGATTTCGTGGACCGAATTCGTTTTGATGTCGTTTTGCTGCCAAGGCGGAGCGACATCATAACGAGGGATAACGAAACCAATGCGACAAAAGGAGCACGCTGCCGAGGCCGAACATTGTGAGACGATGGTCCCACGAGAGCTCGCAACCCAAACCGGCACGTACTGATATCGGTGGTCGCTGCGCCAGAACGGGGGAACGGATGGTAGGGGAAGATCGATTGACCTGGGTTACATGGACTTGGGCCACTAGATCCCCGACAAGTTGTCTTATTTGGGGGAGGGAGGAGGGAGCAGGGAGAAGGAAAGTGGGACGACGGTCCAGGGCCCAGCGGGAGCGAAGAGGAGGATATGCCTTAAGAGAATGGCGACAACGACGATGAGAACGACGACGTGTGGAGGAGGAGGAGGAGGAGGAGAAGGAGGAGGAGGAGGAGAAGGAGAAGGCGGAGGAAGAAGAGGAGGACAAAAACTCAAAAAAGGAAAATGTGGAGGAAAGCACAAGGAGGGGGCCCGGGGGGACAGGGAAGGGACGGAGGAGGAGGCGTGAGGGGGAAGTGAACAAGGATGGGAAGGCCACTCGATCACCCCCCACCTCCTGACCCCATCCTCCTCCCTTTCCCCCTCCCTTCCCCCCTGCGCACCCTGTTTAGCGAGCCAGAACCGCACATAATCTCCAACACGCATCCGAAGCCTCCATTCCTCCCTCGCCTCCTCCCTTCACCCCTCCTCCCCGAAGCAGCGGCCCCGCAGCAGCGACTGCGGTGGCGTCGAGGCGGAGGGCTTCACGAGGCCAGCCCGATCCCGATCCGCCTCCCTCGTCGGAGCCCTCCCAGTAGTTCCTCCTCCCCCCTTCTCCCGCCTCCCCCTCTCATGCCGCCACCGTGTCCTTGGGCTGTTGGTGCTCCTCCTCCTCCTCCTCCTCCTCCTCCTCCTCCTCCTCCTCCTCCTCCTCCTCCTGCTCCTCCTCCTTTTCCTCCTCCTCCTCTTCCTGCTGCTCATCCTCCTTCTCCCGCTTCTCATCCTCCTCATCCTCTCTCCTTGGTGATGGACTGGCAGTGTGCCGAGGTCTTCCGCCAAGAAGACAACCACCTCGACGGAGGGGAAGCCGACGACCACGGCCGCGGCCACCACTTCCACCACCACCGCGACCTCGGCGAAGAAGGCGAAGGCCACGGCGGATCGGGTGCGCCATCACATGATGGAGTCGGAACGAGCGCGCTCGTTGTCTGCCAGCGAGGTGGGTACACTCGGCAGGGCTAGCCTGGGCGAGGGCAGGATGCACGCGGGACGGCCCTCGGTTCCGCAGCATGTATGGTTTCCTCCCTTTCCTGGTGTGGATCCAGCGGTACCAGCCAGCCTTTTTGTGTTACCAGCGCTGGTCCAGGTATTTGTGTACACAGCGCGTGGATCTGGCGGTTGAAGTGCAAGGCGTCGTCTACGAAAAAAGAGGAGGAGGAAGAGGAGCAGAAGGATGAGGAGCAGGAGCAGAGGGAAGAAAATGATGAAATTGACTAGGGAGCGGTGGAGCTGCACATGAGCGCGGGAAGGAGGAGGGGGGGAGGAGGTGGACAAATGCGGATGGGGGGAATGAAGAGGAGGAGGAGGCGGAGGAGGAGGAGGAGGAGGGAAGAGGAAGAGGAAGAGGGAGAGTGGAGACAGGAAGACTGTGACAAGGACGGGGAGGAGGCGGCGGAGGATGAGGCGGCGGAGGAGCGGAGGGTGCGGAGGAGGACCGAGCTCTCTCTTCGAGGCCCTCCTCCGGTCCCCCCCCCCTCGGCCTCTCCTCGCCTGCCTTCCTCGGAGCAGCACATGACGGATGCAACGGTGCGACCACGAGGGCAGCATGGCGAAAGATATCGCAGTCAGGACCCCAGGAGGAGGAGGAGGAGGAGGAGGAGGAGGAGGAGGAGCATGCTCCCAGACCCCAGCTTTCCACATGTTTCGAGCCGCATCGAGCTGCGATGGCCCAGAGGCCGGGAACCGGGCGAAAGCGTCCAGTGTGAAACATAAATGCAACGCCCAGATCTCAGGGTCCTCCCTAATATGCCACCTCGGGGTGTGCTTGGATTACCGCGGGGGGTGCTAAGGGAATAGAGGGACTACAAGCGGATGCGAAGGTTGGTTGATGCCTTGCCTAATCTAGCATATAAGCGGGTTGCCGGTGCTCTGAAAGGTTCAGGGTGATTAGACACCTCCGTTGAGGCGGCGCAGCCCATTCAGCCTGGATCTAGTCCCCCCCAGGCCGCCTCGGACACCACTTGCGACCCACTTGGAGGACAGGTCAGGCCCAACTCAAGCAGTGGCGAAGCGTCCTGGCTCGCCTATAGCCCCACCAGACAATGTCCTAAGAACCTGTTTGTGGTTTCCACGAAATGTTCGTAGAACATTTCTGGTTGAGACTGTCTTGGTTTCACACATCGGCCTAATGCTCTAAGAACGTTGTTTTTGTTCTTAGAACATCTTGGGGCTCCGAGAGCATCTCGTGCGAGGGCTGTAGGAATGCCGGACGGTCGGCCCCTGCTGAACCAACATCACCCCCCCTGGCATCCGCCTCGAACCCCCTTTTTCCCCTCAGCTCGGGGGCGGAAAAGAGGGGGGTGATGACTAGGGGGGGTGGATGTCATGGCGCGGGCCATGATATTTCCCCAGATTTCGTGGCGCCTCTTCTTATCTCATGACGTCCCTGGCCCCCCCGCTGGGCCGCGCACATGCCGCCGGTCGTGATTTGCACCCCCCCCCTCTTGGACACCCCCCTCCTGGCCGCTCCCGATTTTGCTCCTCCGCAGGCCCTGCGGTGCTCCGGGAGGGAGGGCACGGCGGTCCGGCCCGAGGGGGGCCGGGCGGCAACCGGGCCCGCACCCCGGGCGGGCGCCCCTCGCAGTGGCCTTCGGGCGCAGCCGCGGGCGCGCCGTCGGCATGCCGCGCGCATCCCAGAGTGTCGCGGGCCTCGACTGCCCCCTATCCTCCTTCTCCTCCTCCCCCTCCTCCTCCCCCTCCCCCTCCTCCTCCCCCTCCCCCTCCTCCTCCTCCTCCTCCTCCTCCTCCTCCTCCTCGTCCTGTCTCCCTCCTCCTCCTCCTCTTCCTCCTCCTCTTCCTCCTCCTCCTCCTCCTCCTCCTCCTTCTCCTGCGTAACCATGGTCAGGATCATGATCAGTATGCTGATCATCTTCCTCATCATTACCATTCGCGTCAAATCATCACCATCATCGTCCGCGCCTCCTCCTGCTCTCCTCTCCTCCTCCGCTTCTCGCCTCCGCTCTCCTCCTGCCGTTGTCGCTGGTGGGTTTGGGGTCTCTCACAGACGCAGCCCAATCCCCCCTTGGCGGACGTCGCCGCTGGGCGGGGGTGCATTCCCCTGAGACGTACCCAGTCCAACTGCATCAAGTGACAAAGGGGTTGGCCCAAGTTTGCATGGACAGCGACAGCGTAGGCGCCGTCACTTGCTGTGTGAGCTACATTGGAAGCGCGCGCGCGTTGAACGACGCACTGGACAGCAACGAGAGGAAGAGGATTGAGGCCCCAGGCTCGAAGAGGAAATGGAGGTGAGAACGAGGGGCAGGAGAAGGACGCGAGGGGAGCCGAAACGTCAGCGCGGCAGCAGCAGGGCGACGGAGGAAGGATCTTTGTTTTGTTTGAATTCAGCTCAAGCAATCCTCGACAGCGAAGAGGAAGAGGACGACAACGAAAGAGGCGGGATGAGAAAGACGGGTGGCGTTGTTTCCCCAGAGGCACGCTGGACGTGCAGCGCGGCCCACGCAGTGACGCCCTGGCGCTCCACAGGACTCGGGTGTCTGTAGCCAGTGCAGGAGGCAAGCGAGGCCCAGCCAGCCCGCCCGCCGCATCACCCCCGCACTCCTCCTCCTCCTCCTCCTCCTCCTCCTCCTCCTCCTCCTCCTCCTCCTCCTCCTCCTCCTCCTCCTCCTCCTCCCTGTCAGTGCGGGAGCTCCGCGCCCGCAGGCGCGCCGCCGGCTCGGCGGGCGGAGGGCGGACGAGGACATCCGCATGCCAGGGTCGCGTAGCATCCGCTGGCTGTCCACCGTCGCCCGCCTGGGCAGCACCACGCAGAGCTGCAGCCCGGGGCCATCCGCTGTCCTCTCGTCATCGAGCCCAGCGCGTCGGCAGCGGCGCCGCGGGGCACGGTCCGGCTCTCCGGCAGGCCGCGGACGTCCGGACCTCGGCGTGCCCCCCCGTTCGACCCTGCGGCAGCCCTCGAGCGCGGCGACAGTTTCGCGGATCGCCCCCCCACCCCCCCCAAAGGATGGCGAGGTCTGGTCTAAATCTGCGTAGCGCGTCACCCTGGACCCCCCAGCAGCCCTCGAAGGTGACGACAGCTCTGCGCAGATCATTCCAGTGGACCTCCCAGCAGCCCTCGAAAGTGGCGAAGGTTTCGCTGGTAGCACCGCCCCCAAGGCTGGCGAGGTCAAGTGTGGATTTGCGTGGCGCGTCACTGTGCTCCCCCCCTCCCAGCAGCCCTCGAAAGTGGCGACAGTTTCGCAGATCGAACCCCCCATGGCTGGCGATGTCCAGTGTGGATCTGCGTAGCGCGTCGCTGCCTTGGTCTCCCCAGCAGCCCTCGAAACTGGCGACAGTTTCGCAGATCGCATCCCCCCAAGGATGGCGAGGTCGAATGTGGACCTGCGTAGCGCGTCAGTCCGCTGAACCCCCCAGCAGCCCTCGAAAGTGGCGATCGTTTCGCTGATCGCGCCCGCGATCTAGCAGGTAGCAGGCAGCGTAGCGGGCAGGTAGGAGGGAGGAGAGGAAGAGGGAGGCGGGAGGAGGAGTGTGCGAACAACGTGCTTTGTTCAATACGAGATCCATACGCAGGAGGGCGGGAGAGAGAAGTGCAAGATCAAAGGGGTCATCTTCCTCATCCTCTTTCCCATCCTCCTCCTGCTCTTCCTTACTCATCCCTGTCTGCTCCTTCCTCCTCCTCCTCCTCCTGCTCTTCCCCCTCCTCCTCCTCCCCCTCCTCCTCCTCCTCCTTCTCCTCCTCCTCCTCCTTCTCCTCGCCCTCGTCCTCTTCGGATCGGATCGGCACTAGAGGCAGGTTATCCACAGATGAAGCCTACTCTTTGGCGGATCGGCGGAGAAAAGGAAAAGGATGGGAGTGCCCTTTTCGGGGTCAGCCGCCAGCAGTGCAGTCGGACATTAGAGTCGGGGCCCTGAAGAAGGAACCCTTGTCGTTGGGGAGGGGCTCCGTGTTCCTTAATTGTTTCGCAGCTTGCCTTGGATTTTCTCTAGGTTTTCGATACGAAATCGAAGTTCAACTTAGGCCTCGTTCCTTATTTAGGGTTCCTTAGGTCAACGCCTCGACTGCAGGGGCTCCGTGCCGCACGCCATCAAATGGCCAAACAACTGGGGAAGCAGCAGCAAGCTCAAAACATGCACGGGTCCTGGAGTCCTCTTCCGCCTCCTCCTCGTCCTCATCCTCTTCCTTCCCCCTCCCTCCGGAGGTCGCCCAGCGATGGCCGGGGCAGTGTCAGACTTGGACATTCTGGTGTCGCTTCTATGCCGATCAGTCAGGCTAAAAAGACAGCGCTCGCGGACTCACACCCGATCCGCAAGGGTCCAACGAACCAACCAACCTCCCTCTTCCCTCCTTCCCTCCCTCCTCCCTCCTCCCCTCCCTCCCTCCTCCTCTTCCTCCTTCCGCCCCTCTCACCCCGTCCCCCTCATCCTTCCGCTGCCCGTCCTACTCGCTTACGTTCGGAGTGGCATTGCTTCTAAGACGCCGAGCCAGGGGATGGTTGTCATCTCGGTTGCCTGCCCGGCCGTTCGTCGTTGGTCCGTCCGGCGGCACCGCTCCGCAGGCTGGAGCCACGGAGTGCCACACGGCCGAGAAGCACATCGAGGAAGACAAGGACCGAGCGCCGAGGCTGCGAGTGGTAGAGTCGGAGTGCTCGCTCCCTCCATGCCCATTCCTCACAAGACGACGAAAGACAAGCATGTTTGGATCGCATGCATTTGTTTTTTATCGAGGGTGGACAGACCTCCTACCCTGACACGTCGAGTAGTGAATTGTCCGTTTTCGGTTCTCGAGAGGGCGCCGCGGCCGTCATTTTCCAGGCTTGCGCCCGCCAGGTTTGGGTCCGAGGTCGTTTTCACTAAACCACGTTTTACTAAAGTGAGGTCTGTCCATCCCCGATGTTATGAATGAAGACGCGTCCCTCGTCACGCGTCTCAAACGCTGTAAGCGTTGAGCCCCCCCCCCCCAGCGGTTGCGCGGGGTCTCTCAAAGGGGGGTGGGCGAGGCCCAGGCATCGAGTTTCCATGAGCAGCGCCTGGGCGTCGTTTCCGGACGGGATGATGGGGTTGCGCGAAACGTTAGAGGTATGGATCCGGCCGCGAAGGACCCCAAACGCGAACGTGCTGAAGAGCCCGAGCCAATTTCTGAATCCGACCGTGAAGGACCCCAGAAAAAAAAACAGTCGACAAAAAACGACGACGAGAAAAGGGGCGACGACGAACCAACATATTCGACGACCGAAAAGAAGAGGCCGACGACAAATTCAAGCGACAAAAGCAGCAACTGCCAACGACAGAAAACGGTGGACGACTACACAATCCTCTGGCGCAGAGCCGCGACAAAGTCCGAAATGCCGACAGCAAAATGCGATTTCGGAAGCGCCGCTCGCAGCGCAAATCCAAAGGGAACGCGGACCGGGACAGGTTTGTCACGCGGCGTTGTCGGGCGACTTTGTCCTCGCGCGTCCCGTGCGCCCACGAGGCTCGCGCCCGCGCCGGGACTCCCCGCGCGCACGGATGCCTCCGCGCGCGCGCGTGGCGCGCGGCGGCATTGGCGCACCCTGGGGCTGCGCGCGCGCGCTGGTGCCATCGCGAGCGCTCCTCCCCCCCGCGCTTGGTCTGGCATCGCTCGGACGTGTGCGTGTTTTCCTTTCGGCGAGGGCCATCGAGGAGCATCCTGGTTCACTTGGCGAAAAAGCCACGCACGAAACCGAAACAAGCACAGGGAATGGGCGTCCGAGCGATGGCCAGTCCGTGCCCAGAGGCAGGCACGTCGGCGGAGTTGGCCCCAATTGGAGGAGATGAGACCAAGAGAGTTCGTTTGGCAAGCGCGGGCGGCGAGATGGGACACGGGGAAGGAGGAGCGGTGAGGTTGACTGGAGCAGGCGGGCGCGGAGGAGGGGGACCAGCCGGAGGCTGGGCAGGAGGAGGCGGAGGAAACGAAAGAGGACGGGGGCGCGACGGCGGCGTGGTTCGAGGGAGTGGTGGACGAAGTGGGTGTGCAGGAGGGGGCACAATGGACGGAGGAAGAGACGAGCGGGATGCGAAGAGTACGTCTGAATGTTTCCTCTTCATTTCTCCTCCACCTCTGGTCCTCCTCCTCCTCCTCCTCCTCCTCCTCCTCCTCCTCTGCCACCCCACGTCCACATCTTGACCGGAGGAGTGCTACGACCGCGTGACCTGGGTGCAGAACAGAGGGATCGACGATCACCCTGACTATTACGCAGGCCTGTCCTCGCAGTCGAGCTTCACGGACAGCGCGTCAGTCCTCCTGATCCCCAGATTACCATCATCAGCGAAGCGTCCGTCCTCCTGATCCCCATGTTGCTCTTCTGCATTATGTTTATCGCGATTGCCATCATCACCATCATCATCATCATCATCATCACCTTCAGCAGCATCATCATCGTCGTCATCACCATCATCATGATCATCGTCATCACCATCATCATCATCATCATCAGCATCAGCATCATCATCATCATCATCATCGCCGTCACTCCTCCCTTCCTGTTCCTTTCTCATCTCTCCGTCCCTCTCTCCTACTATCGCCCATTCCATTCAGTGTTCCGTCCTTTCCTCTTGGTGTGGCGACGCTTGGAGGTCAGGTTTTGCAATGAATTTCATAAATCAGAGCGTCTTGCAAGGCTTGGGCATCAAGACGCTCGAGAAAGCTTCAGGATGTCGGACTCGAGTCCGCTTGTTGGCCTGTACGGCTGAGGGCGGATCGAACGGGGCGATGCATCTTTGGAGGTATTGCAAGATACGTACAGACCACAATGATGATTGTCTGGTAGCCTTTGACAGTACATGTCACTTCTTGAAACTATGTATCCAGCTGCTTGCGGCAAATTCCGCCGCTGTGCTAGCGCAGCATTCTGTGTTACGACGCTTCGAGCCATTGTCCAGAAGGCCATAACATGTGACACAATTCGTACCTGCTCATTGCGGGGCTCTCATGAGGCCTACCTGACACAAAGCAGCCGTCTTGGGGCTCTCTTGGGTTTCTATGGAGCTGCCTTGGGGGCTTCTTCGGACCCTCTTCGGGCGTCTTGGGGTCCTCTTGGGCAGTCTTGGAGCCTTCTTGGGTCGTCCTGGGGCTTCCGTGGACCGTCTATGTGTCATCTTCGGGTTGTCCTGGGCCGTCTTGAAGGGCTGGCCTCGCTGGGCCCTCATGGGGTTGGTGAGATTATCCGTAAGGGCTTCGCCCCCTGCCGGCCCCCTCTCTCGGAGAATGGGCCATGGAAGAGCTAAGTCATGAGGCCTTGGCGCTGTCGTGAAGCAGTATCGAAACTTCATGCGAAGCCGATTCGCAATCAGCAAAACCAACTGATCACAAGAGGGGTTACCACACCTGGCGATTGGTAAGACGTGTATGGTTTACGGGCTTGGTTACCACACCTTGCGATTAAAGGGCCGAGGGAGTTCTCGCAGTTTGGGTTACCACGCCTTGCGATGGATGATGTGCGTGAAGGGTGGCACCGAATTTCAGAAATGTGGCAAATCCCCTGTGTTTTTGAACCCTGACCCCGCGGATCTGCGTAAGGGGTGGCGCCGAATTTCAGAAATGTGGCAAATCCCCTGTGTTTTTGGACCCTGACCCCGCGGATCTGCGTGAGGGGTGGCACCGAATTTCAGAAATGTGGCAAATCCCTTGTGTTTTTGGACCCTGACCCCGCGGATCTGCGTGAGGGGTGGCACCGAATTTCAGAAATGTGGCAAATCCCCTGTGTTTTTGGACCCTGACCCCGCGGATCTGCGTGAGGGGTGGCACCGAATTTCAGAAATGTGGCAAATCCCATGTGTTTTTGGACCCTGACCCCGCGGATCTGCGTGAGGGGTGGCACCGAATTTCAGAAATGTGGCAAATCCCCTGTGTTTTTGGACCCTGACCCCGCGGATCTGCGTGAGGGGTGGCACCGAATTTCAGAAATGTGGCAAATCCCATGTGTTTTTGGACCCTGACCCCGCGGATCTGCGTGAGGGGTGGCACCGAATTTCAGAAATGTGGCAAATCCCATGTGTTTTTGGACCCTGACCCCGCGGATCTGCGTGAGGGGTCGATTTCGAGCTCCCCCAGCAATTCAGACAACGCGCCCAGGGGACGCTAAAAAGCCACTTTGGGCCTCCCCCCCCTCGCGCGGTCAATCAACTAGTTACAGTAACCAGCAATAAGTCAACTAGTTACAGTAACCAGCAAGAAGCAGAACTGTAACACTGGAAACTACCAACCTAGGACTGGTACAGGAAACTGTGAATCACGGGCCTACAGCCTGGTGGCCCCACAAGGGGGCCGGCGGATTTGGCTTCCCAGAAGCCACCTTGAACCCACCTTGCGGAGGCCCCGGGCACCCAACATCTCAAAAGATCATCCTGGCGAAAAGCCAAACCATATGCAACTGTGGGCACCGCATTGTGAACACGGCTTTCGGCGGAGCTCCCGATGGGGCCACGAAATTTGTGATGGGTGTGCCGATATGGGGCGGGGCCGCCATGCGAACCCTGCCGCTGGTGACTTCGGTGGAGCTCTTATGGGGCCACGAAACTTGTGAGGGGTGTGCCGACATGGTGCGGGACCGCGATGCGAACCCTGCCACTTGGGTCTTTGGTGGAGCTCCGTATGTTGCCACAAATGGTGTGGTGTGTGTGTGTGTGTGTTCAGAAATTGGGCGGGGCCGCCATACGAACCCTGCAACTGGGGTCTTTGGCGGAGCTCCCTATGGGGCCACGAAACGTGTGAGGGGTGTGCCGACATGGGGTGAGGCCGCCGTGCGAACCCTGCCATTTTGGCCTTCGTGGAGCTCCCTATGGGGCCACGAAACGTGTGAGGTGTGTGCCGACGCTGATGGCGGTGATGATGATGATGGTGTTGATGAGGATGGTGATGATGAGGATGGTAGTAATGATGATGGTGATGATGCTGCTGCTGATGATGGCAAGAACGACGACGACGACGATGATGATGATGGTGATGGTCATCATGATGATGGTGATAATGGTAATGGTGATAATTGTGGTGGTGGAGCCGATGCTGGCGATGACGACGGTTTTGATGATGATGCTGGTGATGGTGATAATGGTGAATCTGATGATGACGATGATGCTGGTATTGATGATGCTGGTAAGGCTGCTGATTGATGATGGCGAGGGTAAATCTGGCGATGGTGGTACTGACTATGATGATGCTTATGATGATGATGCTGTGTATGCTGATGATGATGGTAATGATGCTGGTGAGGATGACGATGGTTATTGATGATGATGGTGTTAATGCTGATGTTTATGAGGATTATGACGATGATGATGATGATGATGTTGATGCTGCTGATGATCAGGATGATGCTGATGATGGCAATGATGATGATTCCGACGACGATGACGACGGTGATTCTGATGATGACGATAACGATAACGATAACGATGAGGATGCAGATTATGCTGATGATGATTACGACGATGATGGTGATGATGCTGATGATGATGATGCTGATGCTAATGGTGATGATGGTGAGAAAGGGAGGCGGGGAAGGGGACCCAACACAGCAGTCGATGCTGATTATGCTGATGATGAACATCATCATGACGGTGCTGAATGACGACGTCGACGATGACGATGATGATGATGATGCTGATACTCGTGATTGTGATAGTCTTGATGATGACGATGGTGTTGGTGATGGTGACGGTGATAATGGTGATGATAATGAGGATGATGATGTTAATGATGTCGATGATCACGGTGATGGTGATGATGAGGATGATGATGATGATGATGGAAATGATGATGGTGGAGGTGGTGGTGATGATGTTGATGATGGTGGTGGTGATACTGATGATGCTGGTGTTGATGATGATGTTGCTGATGGTGATGAGTAGGATAATGATGCTGGTGGTATGCTGATGGTGATGCTGACGATGAGGATGAGGATGAGGATGGGAGGCGCGGTAGTAGTAGTCGTAGTAGTAGTAGTAGTAGTAGTAGTAGTAGGAGGAGTAGGAGTAGTAGTAACAGTAGTAGTAGTAGTAGTAGTAGTAGTAGCAGCAGCAGTAGTAGTAGTAGTAGTAGTAGTAGTAGTAGCCGTAGTAGTAAAGGCCGTAGTAGTAGCGTAGTTGTAGTGGTGGTGGTAGTAGTAGTAGTAGTAGCAGTAGTAGTAGTAGTAGTTTTAGTAGTAGTAGTAGTAGTAGTAGTAGTAGGAGGAGTGGTAGTAGTAGTAGTTGTGGCAGCAGTAGTAGCACTAGTAGTAGTAGTAGTAGTAGTAGTAGTAGTAGTAGTAGTAGTGGTAGTAGTAGTAGTAGTAGCGTAGTAGTAGTAGTAGTAGTAGTAGTTGTAGATAGTAGCAGGTAGTAATAGCAGTAGTACTGGTATAGTAGTAGTAGTAGCAGCAGTAGTAGTAGTAAGTTCGTAGTAGTAGTCGTAATCGTAGTCGTAGTCGTAGTCGTAGTCGTAGTAGTAGTTTAGTAGTAGTAGTAGTAGTAGTAGTAGTAGTAGTCGTAGTAGTAGTAGTAGTAGTAGTAGTAGTGTAGTAGTAGTAGTCCTAGTAGTCGTAGTACTAGTTAGTGTAGTAGTAGTAGTAGTAGTAGTAGTAGTAGTAGTAGTAGTAGTAGTAAGTAGTAGTAGTAGTAGTAGTAGTAGTAGTAGTAGTAGTAGTAGTAGTAGTAGTAGTTAGTAAGTAGCGTATAGTAGTAGTAGTAGTAGTAGTAGTAGTAGTAATGTAGTAGTAGTAGTCGTAGTAGTAGTAGTAGTACTAGAACTAGCACTAGCACTAGTAATACTAGTAGCAGTAGTGGTAGTCGTATTAGTAGTGGTAGTAGTAGTAGCAGTAGGGGCAGCAGCAGTAGTAGTAGTAGTAGTAATAGTAGTAGGTAGGTAGGTAGGTCGGTAGGTAGGTCGGTAGGTAGGAAGGCAGGTTTGTATGTAGGTAGGCAGGTAGGTCGGTAGGTAGGTAGGTAGGTAGGTAGGTGTGTAGGTAGGTAGGTAGGTAGGTAGGTAGGTAGGTCGGCAGGTAGGTCGGTAGGTAGGCAGGTAGGTAGTAGTAGTAGTAGTAGTCGTAGCAGTAGCAGTAGTAGTAGTCGTACTAGTAGTCGTAGTCGTAGTCGTAGTAGTAGTAGTAGTAGTAGTGTAGTAGTAGTAGTAGTAGTAGTAGTAGCAGTACTAGTAGTAGTAGTAGTAGTGGTAGTAGTAGTAGTAATAGTCGTAGTAGGTGGTAGGTAGGTAGGTAGGTAGGTAGGTAGGTAGGTCGGTAGGTCGGTAGGTCGGTAGGTCGG